AGAATTTAGGTTTAGATTGTAAATTTTAGGTTGCCGGACTTAGGCCTGTCAAAACAGCTCGTTGTTCGCGAGAAACTTGTGTTCGGCTAGTTAAGAAGCTCGTGTTTGACTCGTTAGCTAAGTTAATGAGCCGAACACGATCAACACGAACTAATATTTGTTCGTTCGTGTTCGACTCATTTTGGCTCGAAATATTACTAATCAATTATATATATATCTTTGATGAGTAGTATCTTAAAAAAAATTAATTGACTATAAGGCTATAAAGATTTATAATCAATTAAAAGTATTAATTAAGAAAATAAAATAAAAATTATTATATTAGATTCAAGTGATGTTTTAGCTTGCCCAAATCCTTAATATTTTATGACTACGTGATTAGTGTTATTGAAATGACTCTTTGTTCGTGAACGTCTCGTGTTCGGCTCATTAAACAAACGAGCCGAACACAAACACACTTTTGAGCTTGAAACGTAAAATGTAAATTAGCCGAACACAGGCGAGCTTAGGCTCATGATTCACTCGTGTTTGGCTGGTTTACACGTGTTCGGCTGGTTTACACCCCTACGGAATGTAAAAAATTTAAGATATTTAAGGTTCCCAAAGCAACCAAATATATAACCTACCCTGTCGTCGGATGGTTTCTCTCCATCCCTAAATTTTATCCGGTTCATACTCGGCGCGAGAGGATGGGAGCCACTCTCTTCTTCTTCAGTCTCTCCTCCGCTCCCATCTCCTTCGCGCCGCAAAACCCTAATCTCACTGTACTTCGCGCTCGCTCCTCGCCTCTCGCTATTCCTGCCTCAGCTGATCATAATGCCATTCTTCACCAACGGTGTGCAGTTCCTTTCCTCTCCGCGAAGGTGCTACGCACCGCAGCGCCAACTATCCCCGTCGAAGAAGAGCTCCTAGACATATCTAAAATTGGCATATCGGAACAGATCGTTACTGCTCTCTCTCGCCGGGGTATCACTGAGCTGTTCCCCATTCAGGTCACTTCCTTAAGCTTATGCTGAATTGTTTTCCTTGAGTAGTTTGGCGCAGTATAATTTGTTTTCTAGTTTGTTTTTGAATGAGGTTGAAATTGGCTTATTATCGTATGCGAATGTGCATGTTTATTTTGTTATTGATTTGTGTCTTCAGCTTTCTCTAACTCCTAGAGTGAGAAGCTGTGAACGCACAGCTAGAGCATTTGGGAGTTGCTTATGGATGGAATGCTTCTAGCAGTCTACTATGATTGTTATTTTTTAATATTTTGAACGCTTCCTCAGAGGTATTTCATATGGAGGGAAGTGAATTACTTAAGATTTTGTTGATGAGGGTTGATGGTGAACTAGATTTGGTTGGTATGGAGAAGTTTGTATGACTGATCGTTGTCTGCTTCTTAATGGCCAAGTATGAAAAACTGGCGCTCAGAACATTGTCTCCCAAATCGTCTAACT